TATATTTTATATTTTATATTTTATATTTTATATTTTATATTTTATATTTTATATTGCATAATTCAAATTTTAAAATTTTTTAAAATATATTTTACATTGCATACTTTATATTCTATATTCTATAAGTATTAGAAACTAAAGTTTAATTGTGCTAATTGCACATGCACTGCTTGCTATAAATTCTGCGCGTGTTCAAGTGCACCTTTTGAACTGCTTGCTCATCTCACGACGCTCGAAAGTAGGCAACACAAAGTGGAATTCCCTAACAACTGCATTTAAAGGCCGTTAACACTGACCTATCCCAAAAGGAATATCCAATTTTTTTTATGGAATTTGTGTGTAGCAAAATTGTTTGCTCGTGTGCCATAAAAATGCACATAAAAAATGCTGAAAACGGGAAACTCCAGACACTCCCAACTACCAGTGTGGAACATTTTCGCTTGGCACGCAAAGCAATTAAAGCAACAACGCAAACTTTTCGGCGCCCAAATGGCGCACGAAGGCGCCTCAATGTCAGCTCATTAAAGTTTAGTGGGCGTCTTTTGCATATGGCCCAGACAAGTGCAGTCAGCACGAGAAGGAGGAGTGAGGAGAGTGCTGTGGGCGAGTGCTCAACTGGCAGCTGATAGACGTTTTATCCCTGACACGCCCATACGCCCAAACGCCCACACACAAGAGCAAAGTGTGCGCCAAAGTCGAGGCGCAAAGTTTTCGCCTAGCAATAAATCAAATTTTTGCTTGTTAACTCGCTCGTTTAAATTCAGTTGAACATTGGCTAAGAGGAGTCGTTAAGAGGCCTAAGTCAAACTCACATTTTATGTAGCTTAACGCATTTAATGGCCAGGCGGCGTTAGCGCGGAAGACGCAGGAAATGCCAGAAAACTGCGGCGCCAGCTAATGAAAATATTTGGAAACTTCCCTTGGTACGAGCCTCATCAAGTCGGCGGCTTGAGCTAGTCGGCTGGTAATTAGCGCAGTGCATAGGCACTGGGCGGCTTTTTATAATCAGCCAAAAATAGTGGCAAGAAAATGCGCTTGAGTTGAGCCAGCAAAATTTCGAGTCGACTGAAATGCATAAGAAATAAACTTTAGGAAATGGGATTTATTTGCCTTGCAGACGAATATAATTGAAATTTCTTTCTTTTACGCCAGGATAAATAATTGAATGAATTAATTATTTATGAAATTGAATAAATTACAAAGAACTTTTTAGTTTGATAATAAAAATTGTATAATACATTGAAAATACTGTAAAATCAGTTAATGTTAATAATATGTATCGGTCATGCCATAAAGCGAGAGACTGCATTGAGCTAGCAACTTAATATAAAGTACTAAATACTATATACATATTTATATACACATTAATATTTTTGTATTTATTTTATATACACATTAATATTTTTTATAATTTAAAAATTATATTATAAAATATTTATAAAAATTAAAATTTTTAAAATAGGTACAAAGTTTGAAAAAGTCTCTCCTCGGGGGCTTAAAAGGCTTAAGATATATTGATATTTCCTATAAATATTGTAGCTATATATATTTTTAATAATATGTGTGGTATACATAGTATAAATTTAAAGCCCTAAGGTGTGAGAAGCTTCGGCTCAAATGTCATCACATTTTCTGGCGTTATCTAACACTAGAACACGGTTGTTGGTTTGTGTTCAACAACAACCAGGTCAACAAACAGCCCATTTCATGTGATTACTCACCAAGCGCGGCAGCTCCAGGGGCCCAGGCATCACCGAGAGGTATCAACGGCCATGCCCAATCAGTGCTGGGGGCGGCTCCCAGCAAACTACTTCACACATGGCCCCACAGGGCGTCGGCTGCTTGTTATTGTCATTGTTATCAGCAATGTCAGTGGAAACAACAACAGCAACAACAACTACAATAAATAGAGCCTTGCCCATGTCTCATGTGGGCATATGTTAAACATTTTGACACTTTTGCGCACGGTTGAGCCGATGCGAACGTCGAGTCTGAGCTTTGACAATCTAATGGAACTTGATGAGGGTAGATTTCCGCTGTAGCCAAAAAATTACAACAACAACAATGCCAACTGCCAACTCTTGCCAGCCATTGCAAATTTATTTAAATTTAACAAAAAAAAAAAAAAAAAAGAGAGAAAAATACATTCCCGCTGTCCAAATTTGTAACAATTTGCACTCACTGTTCACTGTTCTCTGTTGGCGGGCTTGCCTTTCGCTCCCCACCTGTTCAGGCACATTGGTCAACGATAATCAACGAACTGAAATCAGCGTCTGTCAAAATTTGCGTTACATTTTGTGTGGTGGCAAATGCAATTGCTTTAGTTGCGATACGACTGCAGCTGGGGAGAGGAAGCGAAGCGGGAGCACAACTAAACCGCATTAGCGGTCGCTGCAGAGCTTTGCTGTGGGCAGTTAACGTCAGTGAGAGAGAGAGAGAGAGAGAGAGAGAGAGAGAGAGAGAGAGAGCAGCATCATAAGCGGCTGCTGTGCATTGGGCTTTAGTGACTGGCAAATGTTGCAGCAACTGAAACTTAATTAAGTGTCGGTTGAAGGCCCTTTGGGCCAGGCAACGTGGCACAAATATTGCTCAGCGGTTGTCGATAAATGTTAACTGTTTTCTGGTTTTTGCGGATTTGCTGTTGATTTTTATTGGAATTTCGAAGGATGCTGATAGTAACTGCCAAATAGGGTAACATAAACTCTACTTGCTCTGAAAATAGGTATGAATTTAAATCATTTTCTCGAAACTTTCTACTATTTGTATTAAGGAAATCAAAAATTATATAAATTAAAAATGCATGTTAAATACAAATTTTAATTAATCATTATTATCTTTAACTTATTTTATTAAAATGTCATCGAATTTTGTTTAAATATTATGCTATAAAATAAAACTAAATTTTTGCAATTATTTCTTATATTTTTTTACAAACGAAATGTATGCATATAGAAATATAATTTTATATAATATATAAACAAACTAAATGTATGCATATAGTAATATAATTTTTTAAAAATATATATAAAATATAAATTACATTTTCTCAAATATTAAAATATTAGTCATATCAATTCAAATAAAATATTATTTATTAAAATAACCTTACATAAATTGCATTTTATCAAATATAAAAATATTATTAAATATTATTGTGTACAGTCAAGAAGTAAATAAAAATAAGAATAATGTTTTCACTTTTGTCAAATAATATAAAATGACGTTTTGTAAATATATTTATATTTATTTATTTCAGAAATATTTTTTAAGCATACATATATATTTCTTTAAATATGTTATACAACATCAATTTTATAATTTCTGAATATACATTTTATAAAGATAAAAGTCGACAAAAACTTCATTTTCTCCGACTTTCCTAGAAGTGAACATACAAATATTTAAATAATTAGGGTAACTAAGATTGCTTAAAACTAGAACTTGTGTCATATGAGGTCTAGCAGCTAAGAAATTCGTATGTATTATATAAAAGAGTATTAGAATATACCACCTCATACCATGATTAACGTAGCTACATTGCCAGTAGCCTCGATTTTCTTGTTGCACACCAAACTGATTACGCTCTCCCTTTGTGCATATAACATATATAATTATGCTTCTTGAGAATTTGACGCGGAAATACCCGCGAGACACAAAGACGCTCAGTACGCAACGCATGTACAACAATTGCAAAGAAAACAACGGAAGTCTCTGGGGCGACAACGCATGCCAATTGGTTTAGCTGGGAAGGGAATACGGAAATGGGGGAAGAGAGGGCGGGCTCTACATCCTAGCCAGCCCCGACCCTTCTTTAGCTACGCTGCCAATTTTCGTTATCGTTTTCAAATTGAAAATTTGCGTAATCACATTTTAAGTGAAAATCGCTTTACAAATGAAATTAAATCGATTTTTTAAGCCAGACACTTAAAGCAAGATACGAATCGTTGGCAAAACTTGAGTGTTTGCCGTTTACATTATGGCGTCTCATATCCGTTTCCGTTGCTGCCACAGCCACATCCACTTCCGCAGCTCGAACTTAAAGCGCGCTGCACTTTGGCGTGAAATATGCGGCGACAACTTCTCTCTCAATATCATGCATTTTATTTTATGCATTTCAAAGCCCCATCAACGTCATCAAATCGTTAGTCAAATTCGCAAAAAAAAAAAGACGGACAAAAAACTTTTTAGTCTTAGAAAAGATAGCAAACAGTGGATAGGAAGTGATGTTTCTCTTGGCAATAAAAATGATGAAGTGCTATGCTGCGACTACTCCAAAGTGCAGTTCAGCCAGCAGACTCAGAGAGAAACAAGCTGAGCGTGTATGTATGTGCCACAGCTATCCATGCAATCCAAACGGGGTATATCAGTTGTTAAACATCAATTTAGCCTTGATTATTCAATATTCAAATGTATTTTAATTTTATTCTAGCTATATCTACAATTTCCTTGCCTTTCCATTTGCATCATCATGAATTGTTTTCAATTCATTTATTTTCTAATGCTTATTAGCACAGCATTGGCGGCCTTCAACAAAGTTATCAGAGCACGTATGTATTCAACTGGTATTAATTGGTATATTATTCAAGTCCAAATCTAACTGTTCTGCCTTTTACGCAGCTCAATGCCTTTTTATGGCCGATGCTGGTCTATGCGATGCTAAAATTCGTGTTTTCGGCTATGACTACGTAAGCAATCGCTGTGTACACTTCTACTACACTGGCTGCGGAGGTAATCCAAATCGTTTTGCGACAAGACGCGAATGCATGGACACGTGCTATGTGCAGAATGCAGACGGTCACGATCCTATAGAAGAGGCAACTTTTGATCTGTTCTACAAAGATGAATTATAAATTGCAATTTTTAATTATATAAAAAATAATAATTTTGATGATCATCATTTACAGGGTACAACATGGCCTAATACTCGTTTACTTTGACAGCTCGCTTTATGTCTTGTGCAAACGCATAATTTCAGTTGAAATTTCTTTTGCCCCGTCGAGTTGCAAGTAATGCGTTTTCTTTTGACGTTTACTCTGTGTATGTGTGCCGTCCATCTCCTCTCTATGGCCTCTCTCCATCTTTCTCGTTCTGTCTGTCATCGTCTCTAAATCTATGGCTGGCTCTTTGTGTTGCCGTCTGTTTGCTGCCAATCTGAACGGCCATTAAGTCAAACAGCTCGCGTAATTTGGTAGCTGCAGCTGAGTCTGCCTGCAAAATAGCTAACATTTCATTTTTCAGCACGACAACTTTTGACATGACATTTGAGAAGCGCCAAATAAGTAAACTCCACACTTAAATCATGTAGCTCTTAACAATTCTCATATGCAAACGGGTGTTAGAGTGAATCGGTATTACTAGTATCAGCGATGCGTTGAACTGCTTACACTTTATTATTATTTGGATACCAACTGCGAAGCAAAAATACTTGAGACAAAATAAGCCAGCACCATAAAATTCCAAATACAAAACGAAAGCGCGAGTGGGATAACAATATTAGCGAGCGCAACCGGCGCTCTTTTAATATATCTGATATGCTCGCACATTTCATCTGCGTGGATCGTTCTCACACAGCGAAAAGCGAGAGTCCGAGTGGGATAGCAATATTAGCAAGGGCGCTCTTTAAATACATCTGATATGCTCGCACACTGTGTCTGTGTACAACGACTCTCTGTGAGAAAGTCAGTGACTGGGAGAGTGAGTGTGTGAGACCGAGTACACATACACAGCGAGCTGGCATAGCGTACATCGATCTCTTAACAACGCTCTCACTTATAAGTACACATGAGCACCATTTGCATTCCAAATATAAAACGAGCGTATGAATAGGATGGCAATATCAGCTAGGGCAATCTAGACCGCGATCGGAAGAGTTAGAGAGAGAGAGAGAGAGAGCAATGTAAAATATTAATGAAAACGTATTAGTTGCTTATTCAGTTGTCTGATATACAAAATGTCTTCTCTTTATTTTTAATGGCGCACATTCTTATAAGATTTTATATTCCACTCATAGCGAACATTTTATCTTTTGGCATATTTTGTTTTAATATGTATATTGTTAATGTACCATACATTTCTATACATACATATATTAAACTCTTCCTTAAGGAAATACCTCCATAAATTTATTTCTGCCTTCCATCCAGTCCAAACGCCGCCAAGCACATCCCACATCCCCCCAGGATACTCCAGCCAACCATTTGTTTTAATTTGTCGCAATTTTAACAACCCGCACATAACTTCTTGCATTTTATTGGACAGTTCGTAGACCATCGTCTATACCCATTTACCCACACCAAGCATTATAATGCCGAATACACCTGATGCTGCATGAATGGACGGGGAATTCAACTCAAGCTGCTCATTAGCTATAAAAATAGTCACATCCGCACGCAGGCCAAGTGGCAATTAAATGCCGAAAAACAACATAATCAGTCATAAAAGTAACCCCCAATGCCCACGACTCCTCTGCTCCCCATCCAAAAAAGGCCAACGTGAGCGGCAAACTAAGCAGCAATACGTTAGCGAGAGCGAGGAAGACCGTGACGGAAGTGTCACATGACCAGTTGATGGCAGTTGGGGCTGGCGAGGGGAACCACAGTTAACTAGAATCTTGGGTGTGAGCTGCTTTTATGTCGCTAATTAAGCCACAAATGCCCTTCGAGCCTCTAATGAGCGAACACTCTCGCAAATAGCAGCAACACTTTTTCCTTAGCCAGTCCAGCTTTAATAAAAATTTGTGCCGCATATACATACATACTAAAGTGAATTGTAATTAGCAGTAAATTTAGCAAATTTGCCGCATTGCACGTTAATCAAACTGAGGTGCGTATTCCAAGTATATGTTACAAGATGAGTTGGAAAAAAGGTAAGACATCTGTTTCTAATTATTGATTAATTTCAATTCTTTATAATATTACAATGTATGGTGATTGGTAAATTATAATGTAAAATAAGAGTATAGTATTAATATATAAGCATATATCATATGGTAATTCCAATATAAATTAAGGTTAGGGTTATTTTTATTATATACTTATACTTACTATTGAGTCTTAAAAATTCTTTTATTGTATTTAAAACAGTATCACAAGAGTTCAGAATTTCTTAACTTTATCCATTACACACATCAAGTAAAATGAATCTAAAATAAAAATTAAAAAAAAAAAAAAACAAAATGAATAATATAATATATTATATTTATATATTGATCTTAAAGGTTTTTAAATGAAATGAACAAGCTATACATAAAATATATTTAATGAAAATATAGATATTAAACAGCTAACCATTTAGTTTATGCTATTTAATATTCTTGCTAACATATGCTAATACAAATATTTATGATTTCAATTTAGAATTTCTCTTTGCAGCTCAATGGCTCTTAGCACAATGGCATTTAATTTCATAATCTAGCTAAAGCCTCAACTCAGCCAATTTATAGTCAATCTTGCACAGAGTCATTGAAATGTGTGTTCACAATAAATTATATTTCAAAGGCTCTTCAAAAGGCTGCTTCAAAAATTTAAATGGGTCAAACATGCATTTCATTTCCGCACGAATGAAATGAATTTGTCTGCTCTGCTCTGCTCTGAGCAAACCCTGATGCCTACAGCTGTCAGCTACATAAAATACAAACACCACGCCCACAAAGGACACGTTAGGCTGGCTGCCTGGCCGATTCACCTGCTGCTGCGTGTTGCTCGGCATTTGCACACTTAACTTCTTTGGCTCCATTAAAATCTTGCTAAATAAATATTTAATGCGTGAACAACTGGGAAATCGAGGAGTTGCTGTATATACATATATATATATATATATACATATGTATACTGGCAAAGCCTGAAGTCGGCGCAACAGCCTGCCAGATGATTTATGAGCTACACTTGTGCTGTGCTCTGCTGTGAATGGGCCTGGGCCAGGAGCATGGGCATGAGTAGTCCCTTGGAGCTCGCTCCTGGCCAAACAGTCTGCAGCGCTTGTTGTGCCCCGGCTAATGGCTCATAATTGATTTTTATGCCTATTGTTTGGCCCCGGGACCTGGCCCCGTTTAAATGGCGCGTACTTAATGCGATGCACTGCCGCACATTGGACGGCCGAGCGAGTTTATTAAAATCTTATAATTTCAGCCACATTTGAAGTGTGCATAAATTAATGTTAAAGCCATAAAATTTACGTTTAATGATGCAGCTACAGCTACATTTGCTCAATGGCTCGCAAATGTGGGTCTCGCTTACTTTTACATCATTGTTTTGGAGTCTAAGTTTAAGTACTGCAATAGCATCAAGTATTGTGGTTTTTAATAGTGGCTAAGCATGATATAACTTGAAATTATAGTTGGCAAATGTGAAATGCATGTGAAAAAGAATAAACGGGAATAAAACAAGAGTATGTGGGTGTAGCTGAAGCTTGAAGACTCTACTTGATATACTTTATATAAGGTGAGTTTTGAGAATAATGTCAGCTGAGTCTTCTCCCAACTTACTTCAGTTAGCGAAGGATTAGTTATAGGTTATAAATATATAGCTAATATGTAATTGTGTAGACAGCCTAAAATAACATGATATATAGTACATCTTTATCCATTATGAACTGAAACCACGTCAAGTAAGAGTTGTATCTATCTTCTACAGTTTTGAGCCTATAACTCAAAAATGCGAGAGCAAAATTGCTGCAGAGTGACAAAGGATTACATACATGCTTATAACCCACTTGAATTGAGCTGAATATATTAAACTGTTATTATATTATATAGAACACTATTAATAATATATTAATTTACACTTTTAAAGCATATAGGAATTTTGTCATTCTCGTGTACTCAATTTCTGTCAAAACATTTGCTGTTAATCTTCTCGTTGAAGTTCCATGTCTGTCTAGAGGCCGACTCTACCTTGATTTAATAATTGTAATAAGAAAACATTTCGCCCTGTCCACCTTTTTATTTCATACCAGACACATACAGTCTGTTGCCTTCAACGCAAATCTACATAAATAAATGCCCGTTTACGACACCTACGTACGTACGTATGTGCGTGGCCAGCACCGGAGCAGGCCAGACTTGGAGTCCACGCCACCCCCGATGTGCACTTGGACCCGCACGATGGGCTCACCTTTGGCATGTGAAGCATCTCATGCATTCGCTTTAATAATGCGCATAAATTGGCAGAGAACCATTGCTCCCGGATTCTCCTCCTCTTTCAGTTCCTGCTCCTGCTCCTGCTCCTGCTCCTATTGACCGCTTCATTCCCCTCTTCGTATAGACTCGACTGGCGTCAGCTTCTCAGCTAAGCGTGCGTTCATTTCATTTGGCTTTTGTTTGACTTGAGCTTGGGCCCCATTCCTTCTCCAGCTCCCACTTCTCGACGCTGTCTGTCTGTCTGTCTGGCTGGCTGACTGGGCATTGTTTTTGGAGCTCTCCGCCCCCTCCAGTGACTGACCCCATAGCATATTTTTGCCAGCGTTTAATCTTTAATTTGCCCACTACTGTGTGGGCAGGCAGGCAGGCGGGCAAGCCCCAAACCAAGCCTACAGCCCCAACTCTCAGCCCCGGCTGCTGCTGTCTGCCGTCTGCCGTCTGCCTGTCTATCCAACTGTCGGCTGCCAGCTGCTTGCCTCCTCCTGGCCTATTCGCCCTTTTTGGCCACCAGCTCAATTTATTTGTTTTCAGCTTAGCTTTTCGGTGGCCGAGCGACGCATTAAATTAAATACTTAGCCGCTGGAATAGTAAAAATTATGCTAGCATTTAAGTGTTTAATATCCGTCTGAGACTCTAGCTGCGTACCCTCCCTTGCCTAAAATATTTATTAGTTGACTTTAATGGAAAAACACAAGCGAAACAACCGCCGGACCCACCAAATTGGTTTTACCCACTGAGTTATGAGAC